ATGGGCGGGGGAGTGGTGGTGTGGGGGGGAGTGAGACATGTCAAACCCCGCTCTATGCGCCGGTTGCGACTGTTCGCCACCTCGTTAATGCTGATGTGCGGAAGGGGATGGGGGAGTGGATGGGCGGGGGAGTGGTGGTGTGGGGGGGAGTGAGACATGTCAAACCCCGCTCTATGCGCCGGTTGCGACTGTTCGCCACCTCGTTAATGCTGATGTGCGGAAGGGGATGGGGGAGTGGATGGGCGGGGGAGTGGTGGTGTGGGGGGGAGTGAGACATGTCAAACCCCGCTCTATGCGCCGGTTGCGACTGTTCGCCACCTCGTTAATGCTGATGTGCGGAAGGGGATGGGGGAGTGGATGGGCGGGGGAGTGGTGGTGTGGGGGGGAGTGAGACATGTCAAACCCCGCTCTATGCGCCGGTTGCGACTGTTCGCCACCTCGTTAATGCTGATGTGCGGAAGGGGATGGGGGAGTGGATGGGCGGGGGAGTGGTGGTGTGGGGGGGAGTGAGACATGTCAAACCCCGCTCTATGCGCCGGTTGCGACTGTTCGCCACCTCGTTAATGCTGATGTGCGGAAGGGGATGGGGGAGTGGATGGGCGGGGGAGTGGTGGTGTGGGGGGGAGTGAGACATGTCAAACCCCGCTCTATGCGCCGGTTGCGAATGTTCGCCACCTCGTTAATGCTGATGTGCGGAAGGGGATGGGGGAGTGGATGGGCGGGGGAGTGGTGGTGTGGGGGGGAGTGAGACATGTCAAACCCCGCTCTATGCGCCGGTTGCGACTGTTCGCCACCTCGTTAATGCTGATGTGCGGAAGGGGATGGGGGAGTGGATGGGCGGGGGAGTGGTGGTGTGGGGGGGAGTGAGACATGTCAAACCCCGCTCTATGCGCCGGTTGCGACTGTTCGCCACCTCGTTAATGCTGATGTGCGGAAGGGGATGGGGGAGTGGATGGGCGGGGGAGTGGTGGTGTGGGGGGGAGTGAGACATGTCAAACCCCGCTCTATGCGCCGGTTGCGACTGTTCGCCACCTCGTTAATGCTGATGTGCGGAAGGGGATGGGGGAGTGGATGGGCGGGGGAGTGGTGGTGTGGGGGGGAATGAGACATGTCAAACCCCGCTCTATGCGCCGGTTGCGACTGTTCGCCACCTCGTTAATGCTGATGTGCGGAAGGGGATGGGGGAGTGGATGGGCGGGGGAGTGGTGGTGTGGGGGGGAATGAGACATGTCAAACCCCGCTCTATGCGCCGGTTGCGACTGTTCGCCACCTCGTTAATGCTGATGTGCGGAAGGGGATGGGGGAGTGGATGGGCGGGGGAGTGGTGGTGTGGGGGGGAATGAGACATGTCAAACCCCGCTCTATGCGCCGGTTGCGACTGTTCGCCACCTCGTTAATGCTGATGTGCGGAAGGGGATGGGGGAGTGGATGGGCGGGGGAGTGGTGGTGTGGGGGGGAATGAGACATGTCAAACCCCGCTCTATGCGCCGGTTGCGACTGTTCGCCACCTCGTTAATGCTGATGTGCGGAAGGGGATGGGGGAGTGGATGGGCGGGGGAGTGGTGGTGTGGGGGGGAATGAGACATGTCAAACCCCGCTCTATGCGCCGGTTGCGACTGTTCGCCACCTCGTTAATGCTGATGTGCGGAAGGGGATGGGACGTCGGGCATGGGGATCGTGCTTGGAGGACGGGGTCCAGTTGTCCTCACTAGTCACACAGACGCGTCTTGGGTTGACGACTTGGCTACGCAGCGGTCGTCACAGGGTTACACCTTCAGCCTCGGTACTGGCTCTGTTTCCTGGCGGTCTACCCGCTCGCCTTCGGTTCTCAGTTCCAGTTGTGAGGCTGAGATCTACGCAGGGGCCATGGCTGCACAGGAGCTACGCTGGCTCATCTACCCGCTGACTGACTTGGGAGAGCAGCCTCGTTCGCCTCCAGTTCTGTATGTCGACAACAAGGCCATGATTGCCTTGTGCCAGGAGCATAGATTGGAGCACCGAACGAAGTACATCGCTCTGCGATACTTCCTTGCTCAAGAGTTGCAGCAATGTGGTCATCTTCGTCTTGCGTACGTGGCCACTAGAGCCAACACTGCTGATATATTCACCAAGGCACTTCAGCCTGGTGATCATCAGCGCTTCTCTACTGTTTTAGGCCTTGTGCCTAATTTGCCTCACTTGCTCACTACGTGACTTTGCTTGTACTGTGATCTGTATACCTATACGTGCATGCATACACTTGCTAGGGTATGATCACTGTATTGTTTGTTCTCCTTTATATAACTCTGCATGTCCATTTGCTTGTGCTCAGACTGTGTGGTGACTTTGTTATCCACCCTGAGCTTGTTTTGCTTTTCTTGACTGGTCTTGTGAACCCTTGTTCTCCCCCACTTTGCCTATATGGGTGTCTCAGAATGTTGTATTGCTTACTTTGTGTAGGCTGTAGTCGGGTAGCCCATAAGAGGTACAACCCAATAAGGGTTAGTATTTGTACCTAACTCTTTCATAGTTCATTCATTCTCGTTCATTCTTCTGACAAAATTGCGCAAGATTACTAATCTTGCGCAAGTTGGCCCCGGTGGGTGGGGGTTGTGAACTCAAAAGTCGAGCGCAGTGGCTTGTCTGGTTTCGCTGCAACACTTGTTTTTTCGCCGAATCAGCAAGCTTCCCGGGGAGAACATGTGTTTGGGGACCTCGAGTCCCAAATTTCCGACCAATGAGTGAGTGCAGCTTCGACCAATCAGGTTGCATCACCTCTATAGTAACGAGTAGGTTGCTGTTGAAATGTATTTGTATACATTCATATAAATGCCTATAGTAGCCTAGTGTAGTTATCTTAGTTGTACCATTTGCCTAATTCCTTGCCTATATCTTGTATGCCCTCTACTATTGAACCCCTCTTTTGGCTTGCACTTCTCCTCTCGTCACTCTCGCCTAGGTCAAACCCTAGGCCCCTAAACTATTATGTTTGACATGGTACAGAGCACGTAACATCCTGGCCTGTTGTTTTCAACTACTCTATGGGCCCACCGCGTATTTCTCGTTTCGTGGTGCCCGTCGCGCCCTTAGTTGCGACTGACGTGACGGGCGCGACGGCAAGCTGTCTGCTGTCATGGCGACGAGCTGGGCGGCTCGTACTGCCCCATTGCTCCTTCGCCCTGTCACCCGCCCAGCGCTACCCGCCCCGTCCCGAGCTGCCCCGCCCCTCGTCCCGTTACGAGCTGCCACAGCCACGCGCAACCGCGCGCAGCTGCGTACGGCCGCGTGAAGCCGCGCACAGCCGCGCGCAGCCGCGTATGGCCGCGAGCTACTGCGCGGCTCCCCTGCCCCGCACCTGCTGCTCGTGCGCCAGTGAAAAAGGGGGGGGAGGGGGTGGGGTTTGCGCGTGGGTGACACAGCTCCTGCCGCCGCTGTTCGCCTTTTCCTCCCTCTCACTGCTGCTCGTACACCCGTGGGGGGAGGGGGAGTGTGAGGGGGTGGCAAGAGAGATTCTGCAAAGCCAGCAGCCGCCCCTCCTCTCTCTCTCACTCCTGCTCGTGGCTGTGGGGGGAGGGTAAGAGAGGGTGGCGGAAGACAGTCAGGAAATTGCAGCTGCCACCCGCTGCTACCGTGGCACCTCCTGCTGCCGCCCCTGCCGCCACCTGCCCTTGTTTCTGCTGCCTGTTGCTGGGGCCTGCAGGTGCTGCCGTCGAGCCGCTGCTGTCCTGCTACACGTTGCAGCCACAGAGCCTGCTCCTAAGGCGACCTGCCGCCCCTACACCTGCTACTGCTTCTGCCTTGGCTGAAGGCGTGCTGCAGCTGTATTTGCCACCAAAGCACCGACTGCCACTGTTATTGCCTGCTGCTGCTTCTTCCACTGCACTTGGTGTACCCCTGCAGACTTTGTGCTACACACGGGTTTCCACTGTAGGCATTTAGGGGGTGTGTTGAAATGTATTTGTATACATTCATATAAATGCCTATAGTAGCCTAGTGTAGTTATCTTAGTTTCCTGCTAGGTGGTGTACCATTTGCCTAATTCCTTGCCTATATCTTGTATGCCCTCTACTATTGAACCCCTCTTTTGACTTGCACTTCTCCTCTCGTCACTCTCGCCTAGGTCAAACCCTAGGCCCCTAAACTATTATGTTTGACAGTTGCAAGCAGACAAGGGGGGGGGTGCCTATACGCTCGTCAGGGTAATCTTCGCTAAGGGAAAATTTATCCCAGAGCATCATTGTGGCGTAAATCGTTACACTGACAAATTAGTGTAACACTAAATCCCCAGAAAATTACCCAAACCCATCAGTGCTGGCCTTAAATTTCACCCTTCTAATCAGTATAGCAGTGTAAATTACACTGATAACGAGAGCCCTGCATGGGGGTGTGTCAAATTGTTTTAGTGCTAATATTGTGTAGGCTGTAGTGGGGTGGTAGCCCATAAAGGGTACAACCCAATTAGGGTTGGTATTTGTATTGAGTTTCTTGTCAATGCATTCATCCTCGTTCAGTTTCTTGACAAGGAGCAGCAGGGTTAAAATCAGGATATGTGTGTGCTTAAATCCTCATTGCCCTGATTTGATCGCCTGCATGTGTACGGTAATGGTAGTATGAATGATAAGCCTGGTAGGTATGCATTGCATAGAACGATACTACCGTATTCCAACCCCGTACGTAGAAGACTGCCCCAAAACCAATTAGAGGGCTTGCTTGTGCCGTCCTTATATCGATCCGAGATCCTGGTAGAAAGGCTGATTCAGCACATACCGGTAGCAAATGCTGGAATCCCAGCCCACTTGCCGGTAATTGTTGTTTACAGCATTTTGAGAATGTTGTTTACAAACCACTATCCGAAGACCCCACGACAAAGTGCTGAAAATGCAATGATTATACGTCACACAGCATATACACCCAGATCCCCTCTTTTTTAGTGACCTGCTATGAGTACTGCATATGCTGGAAAGGAATCAGACCTTGTTTTCCTAGCCGTTTTTTGGTGGATCAACTCCAAAGGTTAGGGTATGCCCATCAGTGTTTCGGGGACATTATTGTTTGGCCATCAGCTGCTTCTTCGGGGAGATGAAGCGTCTCGACTTTTGGGCTTCGTATTCTGCCTGCTTCAGAGATCACGTACACCCACTTCGGCAACGCCACGTGGACTTTTCGCCGCCAACCACAGCCTTCTTCGTTTTTTCGCAACCGGCAATTAGGACGTCGATGTACACATTTCTGTGCCCTTGCCGTCTACGTTCCGTCAGAACGTCAGTCTGCTGGGTCCCGTTGCACCTTGTCTTGTTGAGCCAATCGTCTCCCACCCACCCTCCAGCTGAAGTTTGGGGTTTGGATCTTCATTCTCGCCCTTTCTGCCTCCTGCCTGAATCCGCAGCCCTTCTCCTATCTCAGGTAGGTTAGGTTCTAATGGCTACTTGACTATTTCTTGCCATTCGCGTTGCAGTCGGAGCATCAGTTAAGCTTATCCGTTGTTCCCATATGTCGTATCGCTCGCTGCGACCGTGACGGGCTAATCATAAATTTTGTGTCGTTTTTTTTTTGCCGAACGTCTACCCATTTCAGGTTGCCAACATGGGTAAGGAAAAGTTGCACATCAACATTGTCGTTATCGGCCATGTCGACTCCGGCAAGTCGACGACGACTGGTCATCTCATCTACAAGCTGGGTGGGATTGACAAGCGTGTGATTGAGCGCTTCGAGAAGGAAGCCGCTGAGATGAACAAGAGGTCCTTCAAGTACGCCTGGGTGCTGGACAAGCTCAAGGCGGAGCGCGAGCGTGGTATCACCATCGATATCGCTCTGTGGAAGTTCGAGACCAACAAGTACTACTGCACGGTCATCGACGCTCCCGGCCATCGCGATTTCATCAAGAACATGATTACGGGTACCTCGCAGGTTAGTGAGTGGATTGCGCTCCATCGTTATTGTTCGTAGTTCTGGTTTCTTTTGTCTGATTCCATGCCGTGAGTGCCCGATCTGACCTTATTTGGCATGTCTGTTCCAGGCTGACTGTGCTGTTCTGATCATCGACTCCACCACTGGTGGTTTCGAGGCCGGTATTTCCAAGGATGGTCAGACCCGTGAGCACGCTCTGCTGGCGTTCACCCTTGGTGTGAAGCAGATGATCTGCTGCTGCAACAAGGTAAGCAATTCGCGGATCATCCTATTTTGCCGCCCAGATTTAATTTCCGTCCAGATTCATTTTCGATATTTGGCGGCTATAAACGTTTATAATTTCGTTGATCCCTGCTGCCATGGTCGTATTTTTAAGTATCGGCCGTAGTCTTCTGGTATTAACGCTGACATTGTTGCGTTCTGCAGATGGATGCCACCACCCCTAAGTACTCGAAGGCTCGTTACGAGGAAATCGTGAAGGAGGTGTCGTCGTACCTGAAGAAGGTCGGCTACAACCCCGACAAGATTCCCTTCGTGCCCATCTCCGGTTTCGAGGGTGACAACATGATTGAGCGCTCCACCAACCTGGACTGGTACAAGGGCCCCACCCTGCTGGAGGCTCTGGATCAGGTGTCCGAGCCCAAGAGGCCGTCCGACAAGCCTCTGCGTCTGCCCCTTCAGGACGTGTACAAGATCGGCGGTATCGGAACAGTCCCGGTCGGTCGTGTGGAGACTGGCGTGCTGAAGCCAGGTATGGTCGTCGTGTTCGCTCCCAGCGGTCTGACCACTGAGGTGAAGTCGGTGGAGATGCACCACGAGTCTCTGCCCGAGGCTGGCCCCGGCGACAACGTTGGCTTCAACGTGAAGAACGTGTCGGTGAAGGAGCTCAAGCGTGGCTTCGTCGCCTCCGACTCCAAGAACGACCCCGCCAGGGAGGCTGCCAACTTCACCTCGCAGGTCATCATCATGAACCACCCCGGCCAGATCGGCAACGGCTATGCGCCTGTGCTGGATTGCCACACGTCCCACATTGCCGTGAAGTTCTCTGAGATCATCACCAAGGTGGACAGGCGTTCCGGCAAGGAGCTGGAGAAGGAGCCCAAGTTCGTGAAGAACGGTGATGCTTGCTTTGTGAAGATGATTCCCACCAAGCCCATGTGCGTGGAGACCTTCTCCGAGTACCCTCCTCTTGGTCGCTTTGCCGTGCGTGATATGAGGCAAACAGTGGCTGTCGGTGTCATCAAGAGCGTTGAGAAGAAGGACCCCTCTGGTGCCAAGGTCACCAAGGCTGCTGCCAAGAAGAAGTGAATGCTGGCAACAGTCGAGAGTGTTGTGGGTGTTTGGTTATGTCACCAGTTTCTCATATTTGAGTGGGCCACTTGTGGCTTGGCGTTGTGGCGGATAATGCTGTCGAGGAGGTTGCAGACGTGGGTATTGGACAGGCGGTGGCAGGGCTTAGAAGTTCTTTGTGCTTTGAACCATTTGCTGATAAACAAGCTGGTTTTGGTGTATCCAACACAAACGGTAACAAACTGGAATGAAATTGTCAGAATGCTACCTGTGGTATTCTGATGGAGTTCATAACAGGTGGGGGGGAGTACAAGTGAGCAGGCTGTCCAGCAAGTTGTTAACTCTTTGCAGAGCTGGGCACCTGGCTGGTGTCTTGGGTTTCTGCTGCGACTGCCACAGCCCTTCATTCAAGCGTCTGCTAAGTTTCCTGTTATAGGAGTCTGTTGCTCTCAAGTTGAGGCGATTGTCACCATCCTGTGTTGCAAGTGTTTCTGAGATGGCTTTGCCTTGCGCTGTCCACTCATCGTTTCAATCTTGTGTCAGGTACAAGGTTCCAGCTTCAGCTAAAGGCACATCGATTTTTTTCTCCTGCAGTGTGCCTGGCCACTGCTCCTCATTCAACATGAAAGTGGCTGTACCGATCCATGCATAAGTAAATACTCATTTCTTCCTGTGACCTTTTGTTTCCTGCGTGCTGCTGTTAGCAAATCTTGTCAATATGTACGCTTCCTGCTTGTATATAACTGCTTTATTGAAGAACGAAGTGAAGCCACAACAAGCTTTTGACAGCAAAGTAAGTTGTTCCAGCATTGATAAAATGATACAAATGATACAGTAAGCGCATTCACGAGAAATTGAAATTGCCCGCACAAAATCTAAGAAAAGTATGGCGATAAACCTTTGTCCAACAAACTAGAATATGCACCCCTCCCCTCCATATTGAAGGACATATTCAGCTCTACTTTGTGATACCATTCCTAGACGTGAAGCACCATTCCTCACCTCACTCCGAAGAGCACTCCTCGCTGGACCCGACACGTCAATCTTGTCTCTGTGGTTGATGCAGAGGAAGTGGTTGACATGGCGTGGAAGCACAGTACAGTACCATTCAGGCGCTGGTTTTGGTTTGGAATGAGAGCCTTCACCTGCCAGCTCACCGTGTTGTCCTTCAACGCTCACAAGAAACTGCCTGCATTCCTTCCGCATCGCACGGGTAACAGCAAGGCAATGGGCCGCCACCGCCATCCCGTACTCGCCATTTCCGTCTCGTTGTCGTTGAGGGGCAAAACAAGATTCACCACGACAGCAAAGCTATTTTTTGCTTACCTTTCAAAACGGCCGCAGACAATGAGCTCATACGTTACTACGCACTTTATCTGGATACCAGCCGTCACGTCCCGAGTGTCTTCCTTTCGTGCGACAAGAACCACTTGTCTCATTTCTGTATTAAAAAGTTGCTATTCACCTTCCGTTTTCCCAGGCTCAACGTTTCCGGAATATCGCGGCTTCACCTTCCGAATCTCGCGAGTCGCGAATCAAGAATCCCATTTAGTTTATCCAAGAAACGAGGCCTCTCATTCTGTCAGTACGACTATCTCCGGATATTCCGCTCACCTGATCAACACAGCACGCCACTGAAACTAGTACTGGTGCTATTCTCGTCGCACTCTCTGGTGCCCCACTCGTCCTGCGCGCCTCGTCAGCATATAGACTCCATCGTCCGTATCTAGACTCCGAGTCGGTCAGCATTGCCGTCGTCAGTGGGAACGTGTCTGAGGCACATCCAGCAACATGCAACGGCGGCTGCCGCCGGCCGTGGCGTCCGCTGCAGTCGCCGTGACGGCGCTGCTGCTCGCGGCCATGCTCGCGACAAGAGTCGACGGACAAGCTGATCTTACATGTGAGTCGGGCCTGGACTGTGATGGCTAAAATACAATGGTCTTGGCCATCCAATGGTGATGGCTGTATCGTAAATTGGGTCAAGATGGAAGGCGTTTTCTCGCGAATGATGCAGTCTAAGGATGCCTCCAGTCTTGGTCCTTTTACCCATGCCCTTGGGTTTGAGTCTGTTACTCTTTTACCATGCCTCTTCTTCCCATGTGTCTCTGCCACGACCATCAGTTGAAATCCAACGGTGTGCGATCAACCTCATGGCATGTCTTGACGCCACCCCTCGATGCTACTTCTACCGTTCCTCCACCTTCTCCTGCAACTGCACAAACCCTCAAACGCGCCAGTGGACCTGCACCCCACGCGAATGTTCGTTTCACCACCCACCACCCCGCCACTCCCCCTTTGTACCCTTCCCTCCATCCTTCATTCCCTCCTTCCGTTCCTTCCTCATTCGTTTCTAACGTCTGCTCGTTCTTCCACCACCCCCACATCATCCCCATTCGTTTCCCATACCCATATTCCGCCTGTGCTGCCAATCAAATCCTGCAATATTTGAGGCATCCCAAGTCCCTTGCTGCCAGCACGATCATGCATTTCTCTCCTTTCTCACTGTCGCCAACTATCAGTTGCCGAGCTCGAATATTCCGCCCCATCCTATCCCTCCGACTCGTCGTGCTCAGCTTCTTCTCTTCCTTCCACTCACCTCCCCCTCCCTCTCCATCACCACATCAACCGCCTTTCCACATCAAACGCCTTTCCATTTAAGCTCTCCCTTTGCGCATGCCGTGTCCCTGCCCTCTGCCTGCTCATCCATATGTCCCTGGGAATCAAGATAAAGGTGCCCTTCCCAAACGTGCCTGTCCCCCTCCCACCCTTGCCGCCAAGCCAGCAGAGACACGGACGTGACAGCAGGCGGGTGTGTGCATGGATCATGCATGGAGTGTGGTGGAGCAGCTGCGTTCAGGTGTACCTGTTCTTATTTCCCCCCTCATACCCCCCTCAATGCTAACCAATCGTTCCTCACAGCCAGTCAGGCAGCAGGGTGCACAGGCAGGGTGCACGGGCAGGGTGCACGGGCAGGGCGACAGGCGGGCTTGTGAATGGAGGCTGTCCGTCAGAACAATACTGCACTCAACAGTACCTGCCCATCTCATCCCACCCCTTGCTCTGTCCCCACCCCTTGGTCTGTCCCCACCCCTCCTCACAGGTAGGCAGCAGCAGTGTGCACGGCTGTGGTGACAGCAGGCGTGGGCTTGCCATTAGTGTAGCAGAATTTGAGGCGCCTCAAAAGTCGACTTCTGAGGCGCCTCAAAACCTTTCCATGAGTGCAGCGAAATAGAAGCACCCACTCATCCATACCTGCACGCCTTACCCCTCTCACACCCCTCTCACACCCCTCTCACACACACCCCTCTCACACCCCCTCACACCCCTCTCACACCCCCTCACACCCCGCTAAACGCCCTTCGCAGTTAGGTCAGCAGACTGCATGGACGTGCAGGCAATGGTGTGTGCGCCGGGCGTGTGTGTGGACGATGGCACTCGCCTCACAGGCTGCCAGTGTGCTGCTGGATTCACCCCACTCAACGATTCCTCCACCTTCCCCTACCCCTACTGTGTTCCTCAACCTGGTCAGCCCTCATTCTCCCCTCCTCATCTTCATTGCCCCGTAACCCCGTTCTAGTCTCCCCACATCCCCTTGCTCATGCTGTTGCGAGCATCAGGGCCTCACTCAAGAGAATAATGGTAATTGTCAATGCATGCTTGTCCTTGCCTCAGGGGCTCTGCAATAGTGCGTGTGCTGCCCTTCAGGCTATGCTCTGCATGCTCTACTGCACTGCCTGCCAGCCTAAGCACGCCGCATTGCTCAACCTCTGTGCAAACTCGCCCATGAGTTCTTACTCATCCCCCAACCGTGCCTCATCCCTCCTGCCCACAATCCAAAACTCAACAGCACCCCCCTCGGCACTGGCGCCACCTCCAAAGGACGCGTGTGCAATGCTACAGGCCAACCCATGCCTGCCCGGCGCCTGTGTGAGCAACTCTTCAGCTGCCCCCGGCTACACCTGCCGCTGCCCCACTGGCTATGAGCAGAGCACAAGTGCGGGCACACCGATGTGCCTGGGTAAGCGTTTTCGGGGAGAAGGGAGGGGGTGGGGGGGGTGAAGGTGCATGTGGGAGTGGGTCTGCGGGAAAGAAGTGTAGCTTTGATAAGATGTCTGAAAACTACACTTCTTTCACGGGGAGGAGGGAGGGGCGGGCGGGGTGAAGGTGCATGTGGGAGTGGGTCTGCAAGCTGCTCGCTGGCAGCCTAAGCACGCCGCATTGCTCAACCTCTATGCAAACTCGCCCTTGAGTTATCACTCATCCCCCAACCGTGCGTCATCCCTTCTGCCGACAGATCAAAACTCAACAGCACCCGCCTCGGAAGCACCCGCCTCGGAAGCACCCGCCTCGGAAGCACCCCCCTCGGAAGCACCCCCCTCGGAACCAGCACCCCCCTCGGCACCACCACCCCCCCCGGCACCATCAACACCTCCAAAGGACGCGTGTGCAATGCTACAGGCCAACCCATGCCTGCCCGGCGCCTGTGTGAGCAACTCCTCAGCTGCCCCCGGCTACACCTGCCGCTGCCCCACTGGCTATGAGCAGACCACAAGTGCGGGCGCTCCGACGTGCCGGGGTACGCGTTGTAAGGGAAGGAGGGGGGGGCGGGGTGTAGATGCATGTGGGGTGGGTCTGCAAGCTGCATGCTGGGCATGTGGGATGGCATGCATGGTGGGATGTCAGTTATGCATGGTGGGATGTCAGTTATGCATGGTGGGATGTCAGTTATGCATGGTGGGATGTCAGTTATGCATGGTGGGATGTCAGTTATGCATGGTGGGATGTCAGTTATGCATGGTGGGATGTCAGTTATGCATGGTGGGATGGTAGCATGGTGGGAGTGATTCTGATGGGATGCACCACTGGCGTTACAAGCCATGCCACTGTGACAGACAAACCCTACCCGGAGTGTAGAATCACAACGACAGCGGTGGCTTCACTCACGCACTCCTCGTCATCATGTCTCGCCTCATGATCATGTCTCGCCTCATGATCATGATCATGGTGCTAATGAAGTT